CTTTCTGCTTTCCCTAGAATGCGTGCTCTGTACAAGCAAGCATTTTGCCTATTTATTTTTTACTACTGTATATGCAGTGCCTAAAACGGCCATTTTTATAGGCTAGGTGGGTAGAAGAGGGGTGGGGGGCAGGGAGCCCAGCGGAAGTGTGTCACTGTGATCAGAGTCCGCGGGTCACAGAGCCGTCACCGTGCAGGCTCCTTTGCTCAGTGAGCTCCTTGGCCCCCGCTTACGGCACCCTCACCCCAGACCCAAGATTTGTATGTTTATACTGGCATCTCAGGACAAGGTCCCTACACTCGCAGCCTGGGGCCCACAGCTCTGCTGGGCTTGCCTTTAATCCCTCAGAAATACTGCCCTGGGTTGTGAGTATCAGCCTCAGCCTGCCCTGGAAGGGGAGGACTTTACATAACATGTTTGTGCAACTGAAGCAACCAGGCACTGCCCTGCAGAGCTGCGTCTTACACCATTGCTGACCTCCGAGTCAGGGGTGTGTGTGTGTGTGTGTGTGTGTGTGTGTGTGTGTGTGTTGCACGTGTATTCTGCCAGTGCTGCATGTGGAAGGAGTATTATCTTCCCTCTGTCCCTGGAGAGGCTTGGTTTATATAATCTGCTTGTCTCCCAGGCCCATTTAGTGAGCGAAAGTGGTCAGAGGTTGGGGGGTGGGGAGACTGCAGCCAGGTCTCAGAGTGACGGGAAGAAGGGTTCTCAGGCAGAGAAGTGGAAGAAGAGCAGGCAGGGCCTGGGGTGGTCCAGCATACTGCTACAGAGGCTCCCGCGACGGATGACTGCTGAGACCCACCAAGCAGCTGGTAAACCAGAAGGCCGGTGCTCTCATTTATGGAGGTGGGGGCGCTCTCACACTTGGACCGACGTTACCTGGACTGACATCCATATGGGCCTCTTGCAAAGCATGGAGTGGAAGAATTTGTTGAGTAAAGAATTATAGCAAAGGCCACTCTTGAAGGATAATTCTGACAAGCCTGATAAATTTCCCATTCTCCGCTTGAGGGATAGATTCTAAAAAGCAGGGAGGGATCTCTGGTCTAAAGCCAAAGTACCATCTCCCCTGACCAGGCCTAGAGATACCAATTCATGCTCCTTTCCAGATTCCTCATTAGTCACACTTGTCAGTGGGTGCCTCTTACCTAGGACGGGCTGCCCTTTGCAGCCCTATCTTATGTAAAATGTTTTAGGGCAGCTGCTTTCTGGAGAGTAATTGAGTGAGAGAGGAACACTTTCCATTGTGGCTGGATCTTCTTTTTTCTTTCTTTTAACACTTGCTGTCCCCTCTACCCGGAATATACTGCCCCCAAATTTTCTTCCCACCTTTTTAAATTGAGACATGATTTACATACCATGAAACTCACCCTTTTAAATCATACGGTTCGTTGTTTTTTTAGTATATTCACAAGGTCAAGCAACCATCACCACTGTCTAATTCCAGAATATTTCCATCACCCAAAAAGAAACACAGTACTCATTAGCAGTCACTCCCCTTCCTCTTTCTCCCCAGCCCCTGGCCGCCACTCATCTACTTTCTGTCTGCAGATTTGCCTATTCTGGATATTTCGTAAAGATGAACAATATGTCGTCTTTGGTGACTAGCTTCTTGATGTTTTTAAGGTTTCCCTGGTCTTTGTACAATATGTGGTCTTCGGTGACTAGCTTCTTGCCCTGAGCATGATGTTTTTAAGGTTCATCCACGTTGTCACATGTATCAGAACTTCCTTCCTTTTAGGGATGCCTGGGTGGCTCAGTTGGTTAAGCAGCCAACTCTTGGTTTCAGCTCAGGTTGTGATTTCAGGGTCGTGAGATTGAGCCCCACATCAGGCTCCGTGCTCAGCAGGGAGTCTGCTTGAAGAGTCTCTCTCTGCCCCTCCCCACCACTCTCTCTCGTTCTCTCTCTCTCTCTCAAATAAATAAATCTTAAAAAAAAAAAAAAAAAAACTTCCTTCAATGGTCATATAATATCCCGTTGTATGGACATACCACATTTTGCTTATCCAATCATCAGTTAGTGGACATTCAGGGTGTTTCCAGTTGTAGCTATTATGAATAATGCTGCCATGACATTCATGTCTTACCTCTGGCCTGTGAGTAAAGAACTTCTGCCAACCCAGGTCAGCAGCTAGCCTGATGGCAGATGTGTGACTAAGAACAGATTTTCTCTTTCTTCATCTGCTGGCCTCATCTTTGCCCCTGTTGACACCCAGTTACCCTTGTCTTAGAAGGACTGTGAGCAGCATCTTGAGTTGTATGTGTCAGTTGGTGGCGACCACCCACTTGAGAAACAAAGTGACTGATTGCAGAGGGCCCTCCAGCGAAGCTTGCATAAATAGTGTGCCCTATCTCAAGCAGGAGCACCTGAAAGTCCTATGTAATTCACTCATTCATTTATTCACCCAGATGCCTATAGCCTGGGGCTCCAGGTGGTCTTGGGGGTGGGACCTCTCCTCCATCACCCTGGCCTGGATTGCTCCTGGGGAGGGAGGGCCTCAGAAGTGCAAGACTTTGTCCTTTGACACTTTTGTAGCTGATTTCTGGCCTCCCGCTGAGGTCTGTCAGCCTCGCACTGAAGAAGGCACAGGCAGAATTTCTCCCTCCTTCTCCAGCTCCATACCTGGGTCACCATGCCCTCTGCTAATCTGCCTTCCCTAACCTGAGGTTCCCCCCCACACAACCCCCTGCAAACCACCTCAGCCAGTCTCTGTGCCAGGACCGGGGGCTCCCTGAGGAGAGGGACCAGCACAGCCTGCTGGTTTGGGCGCACCTGGCCCTGAGCAGAGTGTCAGGACCATGGGGAAGATGATGAAGGTGAGGGTGATGGAGGTACCACTGGAGAGACTTACGGAGGTTTACTACATACCAGGCACTAGGCTACATTCTTTACATGCTTATCAACTCAGCTAAGCCTCACCAGGACCCGAGGAGGCTGATGCTGTTATGACAGATGTGGAAACCGAGCGCTGTCAAGGTGAGGTTAGCTATCAAAGTCCCACGATCATCAAAAGGAAGAGCCGGGAGCTGACTGCTCACAGTACGGCTGCAGAGTCCATGCTTTGACTACTATGACATCTTCTCTGCGGGCACACATATATATTAATTTGGGGGGAGATAGATGGATGGACACAGAGGCCACAGCAATGGCTTCATTCATGCCCCGAGCGGCATGGCAGGCCCTCTGGGCCACCCTGAGTCTGGTGGAGAGCTAGAACTCCGGCTGAGGTTGAGTCCCCCGAGGGCAGCTCCTCCTGCTATGGTTCGTGGAGGAGGAGGGCAGGATGGAGGGCAGGGCCCCGGACTCTGAAGCCCAGACAAGGGCAGCCGCCCGTCCTGGGCTCATGGAAGGCCCGGTGTTGCGGAGAGCTCCATCTGCCCGGCCTCACGGTGAGATCCTGATCCAGGCCGCCAGCTTGAGAGGGAGCCTCAGCTTCCTTCCATTGTCTGCGTGGGGCACACCCAGTGTGTTCCTGCGGTGACCCGAGGCCAGGAGGGAGGGAAGGGGCCAGCCCGGAGCTGGGTCAGGATGGGAGAGGGGAAATGAGAGGGGAAGACGTGGTGTTTTTCCTTGTTTGTGTTTTGTATTAAAGAAAAGCAAATAATATCCTTTGAGAAAACCATTAAACAAAGCACATCCTAAGGCTGCGAGGCCCATTGTGGCTGCCTGGAGCCCGGAATTCATTCATGCCTTTGGCCAGATTGTTAGAGACAAGAGACAGGGTAGGAGAGAGGGAGTGTTATAACAATAAATGTTGAAATGTGTCATTCCCTCCCTGAACTCAGTAGGAGGCTAGGCCATGCATCCATAATGCCAGAGTCCCTGTGTCCTCCTGAGCCTATTGCCTGTTGTCCTCCAACTACCCCTCCCTGGGAAGCTCCTTGAGACTGGCCAGAGCTGTCAACATCCACCCCACCCCAGTCAGGGGCTAAGCCCTGAGAAGGCAGCCAGGGCGGCCCTCCACGGTGGACCCTGAAACCAGAGGGCTGCTACCATAGAGGATCAGGGCCTCAGGCTCCCTGTCTATAAAGGGCGGGGAGGAGGGGGGCTAAATGGACGCTCACTGACCACTCTCCAGCACACTGGGTCCTGTCACTCCCTCTCACCTTGTGTGTGTGCAGGGCCTCGTGCGTGGCATTGGCCGGGGGGGGGGGGGGGGGGGGGGGGGGTTGCCACACGCAGGCTGTAGACTGCACCGGGACTTGTACACAGGTATCCCAGGCCCAAGTCAAACCACCCCCTCCTTCCAGCCTTCCAGGCTAGGGTCCCCTCTACCACCCCCTGCCCACCCACCCTCAGAGACTGCCCATAATGTGATGACAGTGCTCGCCCCCATGTCCCACCAGAACACACCTCTGCTGGGAGAAGGGCGATGGTAAGAACAGAGCTGGCCATTAGCCCAGCTTCGGCAGATAATTCTGCCTGGGGCCTGGCATTGGCAGGATCAGCCTCGTGTTATAAGCAGAGGGTCCATCTCCAGCCTTGACATAGGTGTATGGTTGTTGTTCCGCTGACAATATACAAAAGACCATGCTTGGGATTTTCCCCAGTTTAAAGTTTAAAAAAGCATTGAACTATGTCATGTTTCCCCTAAACACTCCCCAGGAGTGTGAGGAATGAGGGTCTTGGGGCAGAATTGCACAGGCCGTCCTGGACCAGGGTGAGGCACCCGGGGTCCTAGCACACTGCGTCTGCATGAGGCTCAGAGTTTGCAAGGGGCTGCATCTCCTTGGTCCCCTCAACAGCCCAGAGAAGATACTGACATTCCCACTGTGTCGGGAGGCTTAGAGAAGTCATGAGTGTTCAAAGAGTAACTTGTCCTTGGACATACAGCCATGAATCCGGGATCTGGTCCCAGCTCCGTTGCTAAATCTCTGCAAGACCTTGAACGGGTTCATTCACCCCTCTGGCCGTGAGCGTCATCACCTGGAATTTGAGTGACTGGATATGACACATTCTAAGGTCCCCTTTGTCTCCTTACTGTTCTTTGGTTCTGTAATTCCAGCATCATGGCCTGGTGGGAAATTGATTCACCCTCCCATTTTCTATTTTTCAGTCTGGATTTGGCGGTCAGAGTCTAGTCTTTCCAAACTCCCAGTTTCTTTTGGTCATAGACGTTATCATCAATAGTTACGTGCAAGAAGGTCTTTGCTCTCTTTCCCAAGTTACTCACGATCCCCCTTCCTCCCACACCACACAGGGCTACCACCCAATGCCCCACGAAGTGGAGATCGCCCACACCAAGAAGCTGTTCCGGCGGCGGAGAAATGACCGGAGGTAGGAGAGACTCCGTCGAGAGCTTCGGGTTTTCTGTTCTTGGCCAGGATCTGTAGCTCCATCAGTTCTGGCCTGGGTTTCGCTTTTCCCGGGGACCTGCTGTTACCTATGAGATGAAGCAGTGGGGTCAGGTACCAGTTGGGAAGCAGGAGCCCCACTTCTCGGGACTGGCCCAGGGAAGGGATCCCTTCAGGAGTCCAGGGACGGGGTGCAGGTTCCACAGCTCAGAAAGAGAAAGGCTCTTTCCACTTGCCGCAAGGACCTCAGTCCTCAAGGGATTAGGTCCCAGCTGACATGTGTTTTGAAACATGGCCTCCAGGAGGCTCCAGAGCTCGCGATTTCAAGGGTATCTGTGTCTCCTGCTCTTCCCTCGTCACTGCCAAGTCGTCCCTGGCCGTGCTCGGCTCTGCAGTGACAGGCGAAATGCAGATCAGCAGCCTCACGTGCACCTGCCCTCCAGTGCCTGGAGGAGCTCACTTAAACTAGGGCAGGACCCAGGGTCTCCCCACAGTTCGGTGTGCTGGGTGATAGCAAGGGGCCGGAAAAAGTGCCCCGAGACAGCTCTGGATACACGAGCAGCTGAGGCTGGGCATCCCAGGAAGACCTGCCTTCATTCCCTTAGAGCCTTTCTTGCATGGAAAGGTCTTCCTAGTATATTTCATGTGGAAAACTCCAGGTACAGAGCGATGTTTGTAGTCTGTGGACATTCGTAATAAAGCAGGGTTAGAGTGTATTTTTTGTTTGGATATGCATCAGTTATTTCTGGTTGGAAATATTAAAAAAAAAAAAAAAAGGAAGGGAAGGAGGCAGGAAAGAAGGAAAGAGAAAAAAGGCTTCTGCCTGGGAATTAAAATGAGGCATGTGCCTCTATAGGGAATTTCTTCTTAGATCAAAGTGATGGCCTGTGGTTTTACCTTTAACAAACAGAGAATATTCTCAGAGAGCCAAGGAACAGTCTAGGCGACATCCCTTGCTCGGAAAGCGGAGGTACATGTTCTCCTGCTGCCCCTTGAAACTAGGGCTGTGGCTGGCCGGGGTTCCTGGGCCTTCCCTCCACATGTGGGCCCTGAACAAGGAGTGCTGGGTGGTGGCCACAGCTCGGGTTGGCTGGAGGATGGGGCACCCAGAACTCGTCATCAGCTGGTGGATTTAGTGAGTCTGCGGCCTTCCCAGGGGACAGTAACCATACCGCTAACTAGGAGGAAGGCCGTCCTGGCTTAGAAAGCAGAACCACTAGGCACATTATGTAGCAGCAGGAAAAGGGGAAACTGAACCAGGCGAGTTGGACCAAGCCCCGGGCCAGGCTTGACCAGGGTGCAGTGATGGCTGTGTGCCCCAGCTCAGTGCTATGCGGCTTCACAGAGGCTGACACCTCATTTCTGGGCACCTGGCAGGGGGAGGAAGCAGGGAGCACCCTTCTAAAAGGGGAATGGGGCTCTCGGGGGACTGGGGAAGAGTCAGCGAGAGCAGAGGCTGGGTGTCCCTCCTCCCCTGCCCGCTGCTCCCTAGTCTATGTCTGGAGGTGTGGGGAGTCCCCGAGCTTTGACTGCGAAGTCACCCCCTGACCCAGGAGCAGTGGCAGGCTGCTGCCTTGCATCCAGGTCAGCCACACCTTGGCTCGTGGGCCAGGCCGCCTGGCCCGGCAAGCACCCCCTGGACAGCAGCAAACCTCCGGAAAGCAGCGTGACCCAGGGCTATAGGAAGAGGAGCGCACACTGGGAAGCTGACCTTCCGCTGAGCCACGCTCGTGTTAACAGATGCCCGGTTAGGTCAGCGCACCTTGCAAAGGATGTGGACCCGGGACAGGGTCCAGAGCAAGGCAATAAAGATGATTAAAGGGATGGAAAGTATGTCCCAGGAGGAGAGGCTAACGGGACGGGGCCAGGGAAGAGGAGGCTGCAGGGAAAGAACATTCACGCCAATAAACTCATGAAAGATTTACACGGAGGCTAAGGGAGAGCTGCCTCGCATTCATAGGGACCCAAACCAGAGGAAGCTAGCTGGGAGTGGAAGAAGACAGTGTTCAGCTAGACCAAAGATGGGCTCAAGGAAGAAACGTCTTGGTAGCTGAAGCTGGATGGTGTGGTGCCTTGTAGCCTGGAGCAGGAAGTCTGCATCATAGCCCAGCTCCGGCGGGACGCCAGGCTGGGCGTGCCCTCACTGCTTTTCGTCCCAGTTGTTGAAGTCGGAGACACATGCCCTGGAATTAGGCCCTGGATGTGAATTCTGCCTCCCCCATTCCCTAACTGTGTGACCTGGGCAGATTGCTTCATGCCCCTATTTCCTCTTCTATAAAGTGGGTCTACTAAGTGGGAGGCTTGAACGATCTAATCCTTGTAAGGCCCCTGGAAACAGGCTTAGCGCTGGCCCACTCTTGAGTCCGAGGTACATGGGAAACACTGTAAGGGGAGAGGTGGGGAGATGCCTACAGCGAGGGTGGGCTGCCACCCGGGATCTCACTTGTGAGCCCGGGGAGCTTTGCTCTGCATTCCCTCCAGGATCAACTGCCCAGGCAGGCAAGGCTCCCTCCAGTGCAGGGGTCTGCCGACTCTGCTCCCACACTCCAGGGGCTGCTCCCAGGGGCTCTGTGATTAAAGTTGAGCTGTGAGAAGGTGAAGCTCCTAACCAGTTCATAGGTTGTTTTCCTGAAAAAAGTTCTCAAAACTTAAACAACTAGTAACCACTTGTTTCTTTTGGGAGACTACTCAGATGTTTGATTTCAGACAAAATGATGCATTTCATGATATGAATGTTCTAAATGAGTATTTCAAGCATTCCTCAGACAGCAGCATGCCTCAGGTGCTCAGTCCCCAGAGCCCTGCTGGCTGGAGGGGGGCCTGCAGAGGGTTCCCCCCACCCCGGCCCCAAGCTACCCACCCAGTAGGTGCAGGCAGAGGAGCAGGCTCCCAGAGGGCTGAGTCCTGGCCATGCTGCTGACCCACTGCCTGTGTTGACCTTGAGTGAGTGCTCACCTGCTGGGGGTGCAGGTTTCTCTCGACTCCTCCCCCACCCTGCTCCATTTTGCAGAGTGAACAAACTGAGGCAACGAACGACCCGTCAGAGTCTCTGTTCCCTGGGAAGCAGAGTCTGGGATGGAGATTAGTGGGCAGGGCACTTACTGAGGTGCCTCCTTTGGATCAATAGATGTAGACGGGGAGGGAAGGGAGCAGGATGGGGCAGAGGGAGAAGCTGAGCTGCAGTGCAGTCTGGCTGGGGAGCTCTGACCCTACAGGGAGGTGACTTCAGAGCTGTCCCAAGATGGAGTGAAGGAGCAGGTCTTTATATCCGCATGTCTGCTGATCATTGGAGAGAATTGCCACAACCTTAGGCCAGCAACTGTCATCGCCCAGGGCAGTTTCTGTAGGGCCTGAGAGACACCCCAGCACGTGCAGCAGCTGGTGCGGGGAGTGCGCCATTTGTAAAGGGGGACTCGGCTGGTGCCTCACAGCGAACACCCCGGTTGGAGCAGGACTTAACTCTCCTACTGGGACTGATGGAATGGCGCTCCGTACTACCTGCTGAGCTCTGGAGCAGGGCAGAGAAGTGTCAGCCTTGGTCCCTGCTCTCTGGGGCCGGGGTACACCTTGCACAACCCCCTCTGGCTCCTGAAGCCACCAGAACGTGGTGTGTGACTGTGTAGCATCCGAGCCTGCAGAGAAAGGAGCCAGCAGGGGGTGGCTGCGGACAGCTTCCTGGAAGAGGTGGGCATTGAACTAGCCGTGAGACACCGCAAGGATTTGGAAGGGGGTGGGAGAAGTGTGAAAGTTGCTACAGCCGAACCGGTGTGGGAGCCAGGGATTGCCACCACCCCCCAGAAGTCCCCCCACAAAGCTCCCTAGAAACAGCACCAGAAGGGTGGAGCTCACAGCAGCCACCACCCCCAGCTGAACTAAATGGAAGGGAAAAGCCGGAGCTCCTGGTTCTGGAAGGGCCCGGCCCAGGGTGTTACAAGTCTCTGTCGACACCACGCACTCCCAAGAGCCCAGCGTCCTGACAGAGCGGACCAGCTGATGCAGGCACTATCGTTCCATCCCACGCTACCCTAGCAGCCGGGGAGATAAGAGAGCCATTCTCCAAATTAATCTGTTTCATTAAGTGCGGTCTCAGAATGGTTCATTTACTCTATGTGCAAAGCAGATTTGGAAGGAAGAAGAAAAGAATGCCGTGGTCATCCAGCTAGTGTCAGATGGCCCTGCTGGGTGAGGAGCAGGAGAGCGAGCTGTCCCACACCTCCACATGCCACCCCCTCCCTGGGTCCCCAGGTGGTGCAGTCAGACCACATCCGGGACACTGCAGGGTGATTCGAACCTCCAGCAGCTCTTGCTGCTTCTGTCCTACCAATGACCATGACCATGGCTCGGTGTCCCCTAATTGTGGAACCAATTAAGAATCTCATTCCGCCTTCCCTTCCTCTGCCAGCAGGTGCCCAAACCCTCCCTGGGTGCCAGGCTCTTTCCCTAGGGACAAAGTGTCAGCCATCAGATTTGATTTTGCAAGCTCTCTGTGACATCATCTGGGTCACTGATAAAAATGAACAGGACATCTGGAATTAGTGGTGATGGATATGCAACTTGGTAAATAAACTAAAAATCCTGGATTATGTAATTTAAAAGGGTAGATTTTGTTGTATGATTTACATGTCAATTAAAACATTTTTAATGAATAAGTCCGGTCCCCGGACAGAGTGATACCACAAGCCCCTGGGAACATTCCTTGAATCTTGACGTCTGCAGGGTTCCCCAGATACATCAGGCAAGTGACCCTTTCAAAAGAGGCAGTAAATCTGGTCTAGTTTTGTGTGAATCTGTTCTAGCTATTAGTGGTGACGTTGTTTCTTCCAAATCATCTCTTTGGGAATCTCTGAGAGAAAGCCTATCTGTATTTTTCTGGTTTTTTGCAAAATTGGAACTGTATGCACACAGTCTCTAGCACTTTGTCTGTTCTCCAAGACTCCTCAGACGTGTTCCAGGGCCATTTATGACCTTAGTGCAGAGTTCTCT